GCACTGGACTTTTTGTTTGCTCTTAATTTTGAAGCGGAAGGATCAGGAAGTAAACAAACATGAACTAGGGAAATCCTTTACGAAAATATCGCCAGATGACGTAAGTTAATTGAGTTCACGGAGTCAATACTACGAAAAACCACGTGCTAGAAATCAGTACAAGTTCGCAAAGTGAACATCTTTCGACGTCTGTCTTAGGACATTACGCATGCGCATGCGTTGGTAGTTTAAACATTATTGTTATTAGGGAGTGGCCTAATGGCCCCCCACTACTTAATCCCTATACGGTTTATAGTGATACACATATTGGGATATTTATATGGGGGGGGGGAATAGTTCAGTTTGGCAATATGCACCTTTAAACAATGAATCAAAACTACATAAAATTTCTTTATAACCAAATGGAATTAAATTTATACGGTTATTTAAGTCAACTGCTTTCATGAAATGTCATTTGTTTAAAAAATGTATATTATACGATTCAATCCTACTATTAAACAGAACATTTTTAAAATTTAAAATGACAAAACAATTTATATTATACGATCCAGTCCTACAATGAAAATGCAGTGTGTAAGATTTAGATAAAGAGCAAGTCGTTCTAGCTATAATAGTTCAAAAATAGATAATGCAAAATGAATATATTGAGCCAAATTACTTTATTCTGGGCAAAGTTATGAACGTTTGAAGTTTTGACGACAAGAAATAGCCGAATGTCAAGTACCAATTGGCATATTTAGCTCTTGCATAATGCATCTTTAAGTTTCAAATTTAGAATTATAAAAAAAAAATGTATATTGTACGATGCAGTCCCATCATTGGTTAGAACAGTTTTGAATTTAAAATGACAGAAACATAAAATACCAAAGATGAACTGATCATTTAAACGTCGACTTACGCAGATTTAAATACCTTTGAGAATAATTTATTGTTGGATGTCGGTTACTGTTAATTTGGCTTATAGTTCCAATCGGTGCCGTTAAGTAGTTATGAGTAAAAAAAATGTGGTGCCTTTCATTCAAACAAGTATGGGCGTACCATGGAACAGGACCCGAGTGTGACGTCATAAAAGCCATCTTGTGACGTCATATCAAAAGAGCGTCGCCCCATGAAAATCACCAAAAATGAAATACAATGGGGCTTAATGTCCTACTTTTCTGCACCAACCGGTAATACGAAGACGAACTTCTATTATAAATCGGGGAGCCACGGTAGCTAAGAGGGTACGGAGCCGGCTCGCTAGTCTGGAGGTGGCAGGTTCGCTCCCGGTTTTGGCCGAGAGGGTTTATCGGGATTTTTCGGCGTGGTGCAGGACGGGGGGGCTGCCAAGGACAGTTGTGTTGTAGTTCGGATGGGACGAAGAATCCAGCTCCCTTGGCAGTTGGAATTCGATATAAGGGTAGGCCGTAGCGCCGCTGCCCGGGCAAAATTTCCATCACAGTTCACTGTATGTTGTATGCCCGTCTTCATTGGCCCAATCGGAACAGAACGGTTGGACGTTAAACCCCATTTCATTATTATAAATCGATAGTTAAATGTTGTTGGAAATCGTAGATGTCGGTGTAACCATGTTGTTGTTAGGTCCCGGTTTTCTGCAATCTGATAAAAAACACAGATCCTATTTCATTTCGTTTTTTAAAGTTCAGCGCGTTCAGAATGCGTTACAGCCCCATTTGTAACAAAGACCTCGCAGAAAGTGGCTAGACATATCACAAGTCATGTCATATTCCTATATCTGGTGAACCCGCGCAATAAATACTACCGTTGTAGACTGGAATAACAAGACGCTAGAGAATGCCATTCGATTGAGACTTCTCGCGTATTTCGCGGAACATAACTGATTTGAAATTACAGTAAATTTTAAAACCGGAAACGATTGAATGCAAATCAGTTTATATGCATTCATATTACATTATTATATGCGTTGCTACCCATTTGTGTCAATTAGGTTCCAAATATTAGAGATTTAGTTCCCGTAGATAAAAGTCTGACGTCATAGGCCAAAAGCCGCTCGTATGACCCCTGACCTGACCTCCCACTACAACCGGTTAGATTTTCATGTATATAGTTGAGGCCATCGAAACTATGAAAAAAAACCGGAACGAAATAGAGTGTTCTGATAAAGTTCCTCGTGGTTATCCAGCCTTTCTAAAGTAGGGTTTCACAGAGTGATTACGAAATTCATAACATAACCAAATATGAACTAAGGAAACTACATATAGGTTGCTTTGACGGAACGTAGAAAACAAATCGAAACTGTCAATTCCCTTTAATATTTTTATCAGATAATTGTGACGTTGGGCTCTTTCTGGTTATAAAGATACATTGAAGTTGATGAGAAGAAAATTACTGGTCTTAATCCTTTTGCGACTCCCGATTGTGATTTTAAGTCTAAGTTGATATAGGAGCGGTTATCTAATTAATGCATAACTGTCTGATTATGCTCGTAATAGTAGCTTTCCAGAACATACAATCAATCTTATTTGTTGGAAAGTTTAAAGTATTATGCCTTGATATATTTGACAACAGACCTGGAGTCACGGTGACCCAGTGAGTTAAACGCTGGCTCACTAAACCGGAATTCGACCTCGATATTGGCCGATAAAATTATTTTATAAATTGTACATACTGTGGGATCAAGCTATAAATTGTACATCCCGTGGGACCAAGCTATAAATTGTACATCTTGTAGAACCAAGCTATAAATTGTACACCCCATAGGACTAAGCTTTAAATTGTACATCCTGTGGGATCAAGCTATAAAATGTACATCTTGTAGGACCAAGCTATAAATTGTACACCCCATAGAACCAAGCTATAAATTGTACATCCTGCAGGACCAAGCTATAAATCGTACATCTTGTGGGATCAAGGTATAAATTGTACATTCTGTGCGATCAAATCTGTAACATGCATATCGGTGGGATCAAACGAATATCATGTAGACGTAACATACCTCATAATCTGCGCACGTTAAACCCCCGACCCCCCACATACACTTCTCCTATCGAAACCGAAACTCTCCTATACCTTTTTTGCTGTACGTTTACAGTGTTCTGATCGTTGAGCATGTGCATCATCAATCACTGTATTAAGACAAATAAAACTGTCCAATCCCATTGTCATGTTCATGATGTATTATATATCATAATCGCGAGAGAAAAAAAAATCGAAATGGTTTTATGAAGAGTGACAGTTTCAATCTGTTTAGATTGAACCTACTCGCACAGTTGTAATCCTAGAAATGAAATCAAATAAAATGGAATGGGGTTTAACGTCCTACTTGTAATCCTAGAGAATGACAAATGAAGCCAACTTAATCTGCTTCAGGACTTATATGGTTTTAGCTACACAGGAAATGATATAGATTTTCATTCATGGCTTTCCGCGCGTGATCTAGAGATAGGTGACGTATGTGATATTCCCACAAGGGATTTAAATCATCTCAATATTTTCTTAATAAACGTTTATTTTATTTTATTTCTATTTTCCTGCTTCTTTTATTTATTTTTTTTATTTTGACGGAAATTTTTCAGTGGTGGAATGTAAGGTTATTTCAATATGATGTACAATTTGTTTCACAGAGGTACTGCGAAAGCCTTCTTCCAACTCTGTACAAGTTGACTGATCTTTAAGTTCACATGCAGCATATATCTAGCCTATCAAACGGCTTTGATTATTAGTGCGTTGCTTACAGAGAGAGAGAGAAAGAGAGAGAGAGAGAGGGGAGGGGTGGATAACGTCCATTCGACACAAACTAAGTCATTACGGGACTAACAAATGGTTCAATTTTATTTCAATAATGCACTTGTGCGTAGGGGTCTTTAAAAGTGGGAGGAAAAACGAGGACATGGAGAAAACCCACGAGGTTGGACAGGCGACTCTCCTCCTTGTCAAGTACAACCGAGGAATCGAAACCACGCCAGTTGATTCAATGACAGACAGTATGATACAGCGCGCACGTGCTAACCATTCGGCCATCCAACCCTCCCGCGTTGCTTACATCGGACAAAGTAACACAAACTGGTCCTGGCAGAATAGGTGTCTTTTACTCATTTTACTCCTTCATGTTCTATTTACACTGAATATGAAATATTCTTTTATCTAGATATACCTACAACACCCTTTTTTGTTTCTGAATAATTTTTAAAAATGCAGCAGGAAAAAAAAGTTAATGTTGAGAGCTAATTAACTCACCCCAATATCAACTGGTGATCCGTTTGTATGGCAAAATGTGTCTCGGTGAGAATAGAGTTGGCGGACTGACCAGGATGTTGCGGATTCGCGCGCACATCCCTATCCGCGACATGAAAGGACACAGGGTTTAACGTTCTACTTTTTTCTTCTGATCCGAACGACTAGACACTGTTCCTTGCCAGATCCATACTGATAAATTCTGAGGAAGTGTTACAGCCATCTATCGAGACTGAGCTCGGGACCTATTGGTTAGTGAGTTAGCGCGTTACTTTCTGAGCTACCATGGTTTATTTCTATTCACGAACATCGAGGAGGCTAAGATCGTATCAAACATCGGTGTTTTGTCAAGAGACCTCGTTTAATTATAACTGTTCAATATGCTGCATTGTAACACCATTACCATGCCATATCCTTATATTGTTGGAATTGTGTGATTAATACAAATAGCATATCTTCCAATCGTTGTCATTGAAACCATGCCATAACCTTCTACCGTTGTCATTGCGTCATTAAAACTATGGCAAATATTTCTATCTTTGACACAGTGTCAATAATACTAATATTATGTAATATCGTTGACATCAGGCCATTAATACAATGTCATATCCTTTATACAGTGTCGTATCTTTTTATTGTTGTCATCATGTCATTAATGCCACGTCATATCGTTATATCATTCACATCTTGTCGTTAAAACTATGTCATATTCTTATATCGTTGACATCGTGTCGTTAAAAATATGACATAGTTGACATTGTGTATTGTCCTTATATCGTTGTCATTTAAAAACAAGTGTGTCTTACCTTGGTGGATATCTTTTGGTTTTTATACAATATTTACAGAATATGATGACACACAATACGATTATAATACCGCCAATAACGCCGGTCACTAATATTATAAACGTTATTAATGGTGATAGGCCAACAGTTACTTCCCCTACATCTGCTGGAATCTGAAAAATATATATCAAAAACATATGATAAATATAAATAGACCGGGAGTTACTTCCCTTTGCGACATTAAATATGCACAGGCTTGGCATGTGAATAAGTGTGTAAATAATAATTATTATCACAGTTGAAGCCAAAATAAAAACCTGCGATAGGCAGATTTAGCTTTTACATAATGCACCTTTATAGGATATGAAATGAAATAATTATTTTTAATTACATGCTCGACCTTGAGCAATAGCATAACACGACTGAAATACTATAGTAACTTGATCTAGGTCACAACAGGTGTCTTCGTTGCTGTACAATAATATGTTTATAATTTTGTAAACTCATTAGAAACATCAATCAGTAAATATCATTAATGAGATATTACCGGATTCGATGACGTAGTTTAAGTCATTATGATGGCGGAATGAAATGGTAAATAAGAAATAGTCTATTACAAGTAAAAGAAGCCGAGGTGATGGAAATGAAATGAAATGAAATGGGGTTTAACGTCCTACTGTTCTGCTCCTATACTGGGGTAATGAAGACGGGCATACGCCATACAGTGTGCTATGAGGGAAATTTTGCCCGGGCAGCGGCACTATCGCCTACTCTTATATCGAATTCCAACTGCCAAGGGATCTTTTACGTGCATTCCAATGTATACACGGGACCTCGGTTTTTCGTTTCATCCGAAGGACTAGACAGCTGTCCTTGTCAGGCCCTCCGTTCTGCACCACTGACAAGGGGAAACCACGTCGGAAAATCCAGATGAACTATCTCGGCCAATGCAGGGATCGAACACCCGACCTCCAGGCTAGCGAGCCAGCGTCTTAACCACCTAACCACCGTGGCTCCCCCGTGGTGATGGACAAAAGGCGAAAATAAACATGATGGCACTCAACATGGTGTATACTGTTAAAATTATATGTACATTTACACTTATAAGTATAGTAAAAATACAGTGTCGGATTTGTCAGATCACATGGTTTGTTAACTTATGCCAGTTTACAAAATATGAGCTGTATATTAACAGAAATGCCATTTGAAATATTACTTTACAGCATTTTGTAAATTCACTGTCAAACAGTGGCCACATCGGTTATTTCCTCTTTGACCACATATCGAATTTTGTGCAACATATTTAATGTTCTGTCAATTTAGTCGATTTTACAGAAATAGGTTATTCAAAATCTGAATGCACCTATATAACTCGCTAATGAAGACATTGTGTTGTGTGGGAAATTTTTCTTGGACAGTGTCATCCAACCTTACTGTTTCCATTGTCTAATGTTGCTTTACGTGTTCGGCTGAAGGGTCTCCAAAACTTTCTGTGTTCGACAGGATCGAACCAAGGACTATTTAGCCAAGTGGGGACATGTACCCCATTTACAGATATGTAAATTTACCTATTTGTTATGCGGGAGTAACACTTATTAGGGTTTCACACGGTGAAGCTTGTGTGAAACACTGTTATTTTTGTTCTGATTAATATCATTATGTTTTTGTGTTGCTTCCACTTTGCTTATTTCGGAGAAACTGCTCAATGGGTCACCCTGTTTATGATAGCAAATTCTAGACATGTGACAATTTTATAAACACTTTATTGTCCTTTAAGTGGCGTCAGTTAAAGGGTAACGGTCACCGGTGAAACATCGTATTTCTAGTTTTCGTGTTGTTTCTAAACCTATTTTGCAAAATAAATATCGGATCATAGATAGTCAAAGTATTGCATTGCTGCCAAAATGTTCCCCACGGAACACTTATTGGCATGCTAACCTTTGGGATAATTAACTGTGCAAACCGCAATGACTTTTGCATATTATGGACCGAGTAATTATTGGGTATGTTCTATAGCCTCCTTCCAAATTTCCATCACGTTTCAGTTCAGGTTAAACTTGGACTGAGGCCAATTAAACATTCTAGTCAGTTGGACACACAATCCCGTAAATAGCGCTTTAAAATAACGTTACATACTACTGGGTCGAAACAATTATATTAACATCCTAGGCGACCTTCGGTTATAATTTTTTCACGACTAGTGGTCGGAACTAGAAACCGAACGCGAATGGTCCGGACCATCGTCTGTTCAAAGACGGCTGCCCCCAGGGACATGGTGATGTCATTATACTCTGCTTTAAACCTCGAGCATAACCCTGAAAAAACCCTGAAAAAAAACCCTTAACCCCAAAGGAAGGTCTATACATATCTCCATGGAGGATAATGAATCGCTGTGTTACATAGTTTAATAAACAAATATTACTTTCATGAAGTTAAATTTGCGCGACTCAAATTAATTTTAGAGATGGTAAAATTCCTTGTAACTAAATGAAATTCGGATTCAGTTAGTTCGACCATAGTCAAGAAATCACGATAACCGAAGGTCGCCCTAGTAGGCCGAAACGGCCCAAAGCCACACCAACACCCCTGGTCCGCTTGGGCTGATCCAGATAACTAGGTCAAACCTGGCTAAACTTCAGTAGCGCGATGTAAACAAACCTCTATTTTTCAAGGGAGAGAGGTTATACAGCTTTGATCTGAAATTGATTCCCTCGTGGTTGAAAGCAATGGAGTGACAATTCTAGGTATGCCACTAAGTTTTAACCGTTTTAATTAAATATTAAAGATGTGGCTAGCCAATTTCGTGTCGTGGTGTAGCCTGGCTCCCGTATAAACAATCATTAAATTTTATTCTGGCAGGATAGTTTTTTAAAGATAGAATCACCTGTACTCGGACAATGGCATCCGCGCCCACGTGGTAATTAGATCAAGTCGGGTATTATTGATAGTATTACATGTATATTGTGTATTATATAAGGAGCTAATCTGAACGTCTCGCTAAACCCTTATTAAAAATATATCAGTGTAATCTGGCGCCATTAATATAAGAAGCTATAGTGAATGAAAGATCGAACAATTCCTCAATTACATAATTATGCTTTTGCTGTTCGGAACCGCTAATTATATAATTAACCATGTTATTGACATTCGGACATATACCCATTACCTAGACCACCATTATATTATAATACTGGAAATAGGAAAGAAAATATTATCCATTGCCAATCAAGAAATAAAGCTTGTAATTTAAATAACCATTTATTCTATCATAATATTAGTGAAACAAAGGTGTGCCCTAGATGTAATTCTACAGACGAAGATAACTACCATTATTTTTTCATATGTCCAGCCTACTCTGCCCAAAGAACAATTCTCCAAAATAATTTACACCACCACCTCAAACAAAATGTTACAATTAACTTAATCTTATATGGCAACCCCGACCTTTCAGATGATACCAATTTGAACATATTTAACATAGTGCAGAACTACATTAAAGATAGCAAGAGATTTTAACACTTTAACATTTAATATTTTATTTATGATATGCAATACTTTTTATCTGATATAAATTTCATAATCTAAAATGAAAATGTAATACTCTACGATTAGACTCCAAGAAATGTATATATGTTTGTAATTCACTGTCTATACACATGTCCACCATTGTCTATTGTAAACATAAAATATAACTGTTTTATATGTTTGGAGAGAACTTATATACGCCTTTGCCTGTTGTTAAATCCAGTTCAGTTTATTGAATAAAATATTGTTTAAACTAAACATTCGGACAGATGATATTGTTATGGAGACGTAGCGACTAATAATCTTTTCTGTCGAAATGTTGGCTGTTAATGGGCAGCGCACAGAATACAGGGGCCATCATCCATGACGTTACGGTCCGATAGATGCCAATATCGAAAGGAATCAATAGATCAACTTATAAATGCAGGGGACTTTAAAGAAGGAGGAAAGCGGAGGACCCGGATCAAACCCACGATCAGACGAACCTACTCCTGATAACGTACAAGTGCGAAATTACTGTCGATACTTGATTTAATCGAATACGTTCATTAGATTTTACCCTACATTGCATTCTACACACAGCTAGAGGACTGTCTACTTTGAGAATAGATCTCCGCCCTAAATGAGCGCCATTTGTAAAAATAATAGTATACTATGTGGTTCTGGTCCGTTTTTCATCTTTCGTACACACGAATGTTATATAAACATCTTGAATTTCATTGTATGAAAGCGGAATAAATGCTGCTCAATATTTTCGATGTATGCCTAGTAAACAAAATCGTCGATGTAGAAATTAAAATGTTGGTCAAGTAGCTTCGAGTCTGATTCCTACGCATAACTTACTTTCTATCGGAAACCGTATTCTGTCATTTACAGATACATTGTATGTACGTCATATTAAAACTATAAACGTAGTCCTATAACTTTCGGCTATAAAATCCTCTTATTTCATTATTAATAAATCCATTATACCATTGCAAGCACTGTGATTGGTCAAACCGTTCCTGCGATGGGAACACCCCCATGAAAGAGAATTGTATATAGTACCAACACACCAAAAATCAACAACCAGCGGAAGTCATAACAACAACCCAAGGTGGTCACTATAACATCCCACGGTTGTCATAACAATATCCCATCAAATGAAATGGGGTTTAACGTCCTACTGTTCTGCTCCTATACTGGGCTAATGAAGACGGGCATACGCCATACAGTATGCTATGAGGGAAATTTTGCCCGGGCAGCGGCACTATCGCCTACTCTTATATCTAACCCCAACTGCCAAATCTTTTACGTGCATTCCAATGTATACACGGGACCTCGGTTTTTGTCTCATCCGAAAGACTAGACAGCTGTCCTTGTCAGGCCCTCCGTTCTGCACCACTGACAAGGGGAAACCACGTCGGAAAATCCAGATGAACTTTCTCGGCCAATGCAGGGATTGAACACCCGACCTCCAGACTAGCGACCCAGCGTCTTAACCACCTAGCCACCTTGGCTACCAATATCCCATCAAGGTCATAACAACAACCCAAGGAGGTCATAACAACAAAATACTTGGGACATAACAAAAGTCAGTAAAGGCGTTGAGTTAGAATTGGTCCAGCCCCTGGATGTATAGCACGCACTCTGTAAGACGGAACTGTAT